AGGACCACAGTCAAAATCCCCTCTCGATTCCCCCAATGAACGAGAGGTCCACAAATTGAGCGATCAAACCTTCCTACAGTTAGGATTGTCTCAAAACACCCACTTGGTCAAACCTTCTTACAGTTAGGACCACAGTCAAAATCCCCTCTCGATTCCCCCAATGAACGAGAGGTCCACAAATTGAGCGATCAAACCTTCCTACAGTTAGGATTGTCTCAAAACACCCACTTGGTCAAACCTTCTTACAGTTAGGACCACAGTCAAAATCCCCTCTCGATTCCCCCAATGAACGAGAGGTCCACAAATTGAGCGATCAAACCTTCCTACAGTTAGGATTGTCTCAAAACACCCACTTGGTCAAACCTTCTTACAGTTAGGACCACAGTCAAAATCCCCTCTCGATTCCCCCAATGAACGAGAGGTCCACAAATTGAGCGATCAAACCTTCCTACAGTTAGGATTGTCTCAAAACACCCACTTGGTCAAACCTTCTTACAGTTAGGACCACAGTCAAAATCCCCTCTCGATTCCCCCAATGAACGAGAGGTCCACAAATTGAGCGATCAAACCTTCCTACAGTTAGGATTGTCTCAAAACACCCACTTGGTCAAACCTTCTTACAGTTAGGACCACAGTCAAAATCCCCTCTCGATTCCCCCAATGAACGAGAGGTCCACAAATTGAGCGATCAAACCTTCCTACAGTTAGGATTGTCTCAAAACACCCACTTGGTCAAACCTTCTTACAGTTAGGACCACAGTCAAAATCCCCTCTCGATTCCCCCAATGAACGAGAGGTCCACAAATTGAGCGATCAAACCTTCCTACAGTTAGGATTGTCTCAAAACACCCACTTGGTCAAACCTTCTTACAGTTAGGACCACAGTCAAAATCCCCTCTCGATTCCCCCAATGAACGAGAGGTCCACAAATTGAGCGATCAAACCTTCCTACAGTTAGGATTGTCTCAAAACACCCACTTGGTCAAACCTTCTTACAGTTAGGACCACAGTCAAAATCCCCTCTCGATTCCCCCAATGAACGAGAGGTCCACAAATTGAGCGATCAAACCTTCCTACAGTTAGGATTGTCTCAAAACACCCACTTGGTCAAACCTTCTTACAGTTAGGACCACAGTCAAAATCCCCTCTCGATTCCCCCAATGAACGAGAGGTCCACAAATTGAGCGATCAAACCTTCCTACAGTTAGGATTGTCTCAAAACACCCACTTGGTCAAACCTTCTTACAGTTAGGACCACAGTCAAAATCCCCTCTCGATTCCCCCAATGAACGAGAGGTCCACAAATTGAGCGATCAAACCTTCCTACAGTTAGGATTGTCTCAAAACACCCACTTGGTCAAACCTTCTTACAGTTAGGACCACAGTCAAAATCCCCTCTCGATTCCCCCAATGAACGAGAGGTCCACAAATTGAGCGATCAAACCTTCCTACAGTTAGGATTGTCTCAAAACACCCACTTGGTCAAACCTTCTTACAGTTAGGACCACAGTCAAAATCCCCTCTCGATTCCCCCAATGAACGAGAGGTCCACAAATTGAGCGATCAAACCTTCCTACAGTTAGGATTGTCTCAAAACACCCACTTGGTCAAACCTTCTTACAGTTAGGACCACAGTCAAAATCCCCTCTCGATTCCCCCAATGAACGAGAGGTCCACAAATTGAGCGATCAAACCTTCCTACAGTTAGGATTGTCTCAAAACACCCACTTGGTCAAACCTTCTTACAGTTAGGACCACAGTCAAAATCCCCTCTCGATTCCCCCAATGAACGAGAGGTCCACAAATTGAGCGATCAAACCTTCCTACAGTTAGGATTGTCTCAAAACACCCACTTGGTCAAACCTTCTTACAGTTAGGACCACAGTCAAAATCCCCTCTCGATTCCCCCAATGAACGAGAGGTCCACAAATTGAGCGATCAAACCTTCCTACAGTTAGGATTGTCTCAAAACACCCACTTGGTCAAACCTTCTTACAGTTAGGACCACAGTCAAAATCCCCTCTCGATTCCCCCAATGAACGAGAGGTCCACAAATTGAGCGATCAAACCTTCCTACAGTTAGGATTGTCTCAAAACACCCACTTGGTCAAACCTTCTTACAGTTAGGACCACAGTCAAAATCCCCTCTCGATTCCCCCAATGAACGAGAGGTCCACAAATTGAGCGATCAAACCTTCCTACAGTTAGGATTGTCTCAAAACACCCACTTGGTCAAACCTTCTTACAGTTAGGACCACAGTCAAAATCCCCTCTCGATTCCCCCAATGAACGAGAGGTCCACAAATTGAGCGATCAAACCTTCCTACAGTTAGGATTGTCTCAAAACACCCACTTGGTCAAACCTTCTTACAGTTAGGACCACAGTCAAAATCCCCTCTCGATTCCCCCAATGAACGAGAGGTCCACAAATTGAGCGATCAAACCTTCCTACAGTTAGGATTGTCTCAAAACACCCACTTGGTCAAACCTTCTTACAGTTAGGACCACAGTCAAAATCCCCTCTCGATTCCCCCAATGAACGAGAGGTCCACAAATTGAGCGATCAAACCTTCCTACAGTTAGGATTGTCTCAAAACACCCACTTGGTCAAACCTTCTTACAGTTAGGACCACAGTCAAAATCCCCTCTCGATTCCCCCAATGAACGAGAGGTCCACAAATTGAGCGATCAAACCTTCCTACAGTTAGGATTGTCTCAAAACACCCACTTGGTCAAACCTTCTTACAGTTAGGACCACAGTCAAAATCCCCTCTCGATTCCCCCAATGAACGAGAGGTCCACAAATTGAGCGATCAAACCTGTAATCTTTGTTTATTTTTATTTGATTTTCGTTGTAACCGGATCTTATAAAAAGACCGGATCTTTTGTAACTCAAAAAGTTGTAACTCAAGATGACAATCGAATCAATAACAAAGAAAGACACGAATTTTCCAGCGAACAGCTAGCACCTCTGTTGTACTTATGGATATGATCCACTACTGAGTTTTTTAAGTTGGGCCCTAGAGTCACACCAAGCGCGTACTTGAATCCTATGAAACACTATTTATGGAGTGATGCGTATGATTGATACGCATATATGATTTCTTCCGGATACACATAAACGGTTATGTATATCGGTAAAATCGGAATGCTATGTGCTTAGGAAATGAATTCCAGTATTTTTCCCATAAAGTTAACTTTTAGTCAACTAGTTGACTTTTTGGTTAATAGTTGACTTTTGGTCAACTCTTGATTTATTTGGTCATATAGTGACTAATTAATTAAAGATTAGAATAATACTATATACCGTATTTATGAAATACTGTATTAGTGATAATAATTTGGTATTCTCATTTATGAAATACACATACCATGTATAATGAGTCATGAGATGAGTTACTTAGTGGTATGGTTTGAGCACATGATTTATTAGCACATGGTTTTGAAATGTAATGATTCATAAGATGATTCATTGTATGACTCACTTGATTAATCATTAATTTTTGATGATTCATTGCATGACTCATAGGATGAGTCATTCATATCATGAACACATTTCACTCTATAAATATGAGCTCTTTTTCCTTATGGAAAGGTTAATAAAAAATTGGCTAAGTGTTTTTTTTCATAAGAGAATAAAAGAGAGCTCTCATCTTACTAAACTTTAGCAATCTTTGAGCAAGAGGAAGTAGTAGGATTTTAAGAACCCCGGGGTGGATATCTTGCCTTGTGTCTTAAGAAGACTCCCATTTTATCAAGCTCACTTGAAGACTTGGAGATCCACTACAAGGAGATTTTCTACTACAAGGAGCAAGAGCTAGGGGTTATTCGATCTTCCATCGAATCACACTACGAAAGTATGACTTTCTAACTCTTGTATGCTCACTTAATAATAAGGATCATGTTAGATTTAATTAGACGATCCATATGAATATTTCATGCTCCCTACATGCTTAGTATTTTTGTACATACATGTCTTCCGCTGTGTATTATGCATGTAGCCATAGCACGATTTCCTTCAGGGGAGAAGGGGGAGGTCGAGCGACTGGAGTGGAAACTAGGGTTTTTTTAGTTGGGTTTTGGGTTGGTTAGCGGTTACGGGCTTGGAACTTTGGATACCTAAATAGACCCGATTTCTTATGTTTATTGAATTGCGGATATCCGTATCCATAACCAAATCTTATACTCATAATTGTATTCGGATCCGTATCCAAAAAAAAGGAACCAGATCCGTAATCCAAAATCGTATCCGCCCGGTTTTAAAAATGACTTACCATATCCGCATTCGTTCGGATACGGATGCGGATCGGTTCGGATAAAACCGAACCGTTTGGCACCCCTACTTATATACCACCACATTTACTAAAATTGATTCTTTCTCTCCCTCATTCTTATTTATGTATTTAAAAATTAAATTGACACCTAATTAAAATTTTTAGAAATAAACTTATGAATAATTATTTATATAAAAATATACTGAAAAATATTTTTAATTAAAAAATATTAAATGATAAAAAAATTCTAGTTAAGCTTACATAAAATCTACCAGTGGAGTATGTCTTATTCTTTCAAGTGATGAAGCCTATTGGGGGGGGGGGGGGGGGTTGTGTAATTATTTTATTGAGGCAAAACTTATTAAATATTTGGGATGAAGTAAGAAAGAAAGAAACTAAGAGCCTTAGTATGGATTAAACCTCATAAATTTGGAAGTAAAAGGGTGAAATAAGGAAGAGAGGATTATTGTGATAGTTAAAGCACATTATTATGAATATTTCAACCGAAATACAAATTAAGCAGACCAACTCCTACAGGGGATGCTATCGTGTTTGTCCCAATCGACATAGGTGGTGGTTATGGTGTCCTTTTAAGAATAAAATCTCTTTTCCATAAAGACCCCCCCCCCCCCCCCCTGTTTAGGCTTTTCACACTCATTCACAAATCCAAAATAAACTACCAAAAAAATTGACATCATATAGCCTCAATTTTCAATACCTTCCCTCAACTTCCTATCCAATTCCTTGGTCATAGCCAAGGGGGCACCAAAGTTGTTCCCCCTCAATCTACTATATATTTGACCCTCAGCATGCTCTAGTGGTTGTATAATCAACTCCTCATCCGAAAAAGTTCTCAAACATGGGAAAGCTCTCGTTGGGATCTCTTCTTACTTCTTGCTTCATTCACAAGGGAATCAACACCCATCCTCAACCTCGGCGTTCGTCGGCGACTAGGGTCTCTGATCATGGCTCCCCTGACCAGAGGCTATCTTGTCATGATATAAGCTCTCCTGAGGACTTATCGTTGTCCTCCATTGGATCAAACTTGTATATTTTCAGCCTTGATGAGCTCAAGAAAGCAACTAGGAGCTTCTCCCTTTGTAATTTGATTGGAGAGGGCGGGTTCGGGCCGGTTTATAAAGGGTTTGTTGATGAGAGGATCCGACCCGGGGTTAAAGCCCAGGCAGTTGCGGTGAAGCTCTTGGATTTGGAGGGAGTGCAGGGGCAAAAGGAGTGGATGGTAAACATTTTCTACTCTATATTTTGTTCCATAAACATACAAGTATTTTTTTCTGTAGGTTAAGGACTTTAGCGGTGATATATCATCAAAAGATGTTGGTGGGCAGAGGGGTTACAATTCAAAGCGACTCAAAGTAGATAAACAACATTTTGAGATGATTGGGATGAGCACCAAAATTCATCAAACAGAGCTTCATAGATAGCATATAGGGCTAAATTTTCGCATATACCTCTTGTAGGATCTCACCTTGGAACTTATTAGCTAGTTTCATTTTGATACATATAACTCTTGAGTGAAATAACCCAAAAAAAAAAGAATAATTTTCTCTTTCTCTGGACGTAAGAGAGTCGATAAATTTTGATTAAGCAAAATCAAACTATAGGAAAAATAAATTCCAAAACACGAAACTATTGTTGTCGACACTAGGTGAAATCACATTGGTTTCTCTCCTTCCAAATCAAACTAAAATATTTGCTCTTCATATGCTGAAGATTTTCTTTAATATATTTAATTTTTAGAAATCTAATTCATGTGACGCACGTTGGCAGACTGAGGTGATATTTCTCGGGCAATTGAGGCATCCAAACCTCGTCAAACTTATCGGTTACTGCTACGAGAAGGAGCATAGGCTTTTGGTTTATGAGTTCATGGAGAAGGGAAGCTTAGAGAACCATCTTTTCAAGAGTAAGTCTTTGCCTCTCTTTTACTATGAGGCAATCTATGTGCTGTAGAATTATAATGACTTCGAATTTTCATTAGAAACTTTACAATTTTGGTACTAATAATCGTGATTATTTAAATGATGATTGCAGGGCTTCTTGGCCCATTGCCGTGGACTACAAGGTTGCAAATAGCAGTAGGAGCTGCCAAGGGCCTTGCTTTTCTCCATGAAGCAGAGAAGCCTGTGATCTACCGTGATTTCAAAGCATCAAACATACTTCTAGACAAGGTAATTGAGTCCTACCCTCTTGCTCTCTTTTGCGCAAAATAATCCACCTTTTGACATGTATATGGTTATAAATTTTTTTATGGTAAATAATAGAAAGCAGTACACTAGTTAATCAGAACAGTGTCATAGTTATAGCTACTGCTATGCTTCAATTTGAATAGTTTGATCCCTTTCATATTTTGAGGGTCAGTTTAGCAACTTGGTAACCAATCCACATTAGTTTTGGATCAACCTAGTCTAAGGGGCTGTTTGGTTGTTGTTGGTAAAGTTGTGTATTTATGACACAACTTGGAAAGTTGTTGTCCATCTCATCAATTTCACTGAGCAACTTTTTTTTTGTTTGTTTTTTATTCCATTGGAATCATAAATTGCTTGTTTGGTTTGCAAAATGTAACTTTAATTGCTTGTTTGGAAAGTGTAAAAAGCGGTTATTGTGTGGTCCCTACTCAAATGATTACATTGGCCTAGCCCCCTCACTTCTGACACATATGTCAGCTTTCCTTCAAAATCAGACCATTTTGAAGGGATTTGTGAATCCATGCCACATCAGCATAGTAAATCAATTTACACTATTTTCACAACTACAAACAAACAATTGAAAAGGAGAAAAGTTGACATTGGGACCCCTTTTTTACACTTTCTATCCTTTTGCATAGTAAAAACTTATAACCAAACAGCCCCTAAATTAGATTTGGACATAACAAAACTAAGTCCTGTCTTTATAGGTTTTTCTAAACCGGGATCATTTTTGGCCTTGTTCCATTTGATCTGGTAGCTTACTAGTTGATGTATGTAGCTAAGGGGCTGTTTGGTGGTTGTTGGTAAAGTTGTGTATTTATGACACAACTTGGAAAGTTGTTGTCCACCTCATAAATTTTACTTTTATATTTTTCTTTGTTTGTTTTTTAATCCATTGGAATCATAAATTGCTTGTTTGGTTTGTAAATGTAACTTTAATTGTTTGTTTGGAAAGTTTAAAAAGTGGTCCCTACTCAAATGATCATATTGGTTAGAATTATTTTTTATTATTTTTTTCTGACTTCAATGTCAGCTTTCTCCTAAAATCATGTCTTTTTTTTATGAAATCACTTTACAAGCCACATCAGCATATGAAATCACTTTACACTATTTTTACAACTACAAACAAACAATTGAAAGTGATAAAGCTGACATTGGGACCCACTTTTTTACACTTTCCATCCTTTTACATGGTAAAAACATACAACCAAACAGCCCCTAAGATACCTTAGTGGGGGAAAAAAAGTAGTACAATCCATGAGATACTGTGTCATGATGGTTTAATATTTGTTAAACAATTATGATTGAATTTTTTTTTCTCTACAGTCAATGTGACGTAATAGTATCCAACTTCAAGTTTGAATAGATCAATTCTCAACAAAAGTGGCAAGCACCCGGGGGGAGTTTGGTCCCCTCTGTTGCAAAGCTGGCTAAAACTATTCACATTGGCTGCAGTCAGGATGGCGCAGTTAGAATTCTACACTTAGAACGGCTTTTAGAAGTTAAGACTTATGAAAAGATGGATACCAACTCCACCACTTGTAATAAGTCTAATCTTATTAACAAGGTCAGTTAACCATAATCATGTTTAATCTTCATAACTTATCCCTCTTTACCGAAGTCAACACCTCCTTGCCCAATCCAAATAGTTGCTAACTAAAAAGAATATTTTATGTTGACCATGACATAAACCATTGAAGCCATGGCGGCATAAAACCAGTAACACCTTTGAACGAGTCATTTCAAATTAGGGTCTTTTGTCTTTAATATTTTGAGATTAATCCCTCAAATTATTGAAACTGTCATTTAGTCCCTCAAATTATTGAAATTGCATCTGAGTTCATCTTTTCTTTAATTTTCAGGATTTCAAAACGAAGCTTTCAGATTTCGGACTAGCTAAGGATGGACCAGAAGGCGATGCATCTCATGTTTCAACTCGAGTCATGGGAACGGAAGGATATTGTGCGCCCGAATACATCATGACTGGTAAAAAAAACCAGCCTCAAATTTCTTGCAAATTCATCTTAGTTATTTATTAAATTTCTAACCTTGTAAATTCGTGCTAATGTAATAATGCAGGGCATCTTACTGCAAAGAGCGATGTTTACAGCTTCGGAGTAGTACTACTAGAACTACTAACAGGCCAACGATCAGTAGACAAAACTCGACCCAATAGGGAACAAAACCTCGTCACATGGGCAAAACCTTTCCTAAAGAACCCTGATAAGCTAAATTACATAATGGACTCTAGCCTCGATGGTCAATACTCAACTCTTGGGGCTCAGAGGGCGGCCGCATTGGCTCACAAGTGCCTTAGCCATAGTCAGAAATCACGACCGTTGATGAGAACTGTTGTCGAGACTCTAGAACCACTTCTAGAGTTGGATGATATACCGATGGGCACGTTTGTGTATAATGTGATGGACGATAATGGTGGTGAGAATGAGGATACAGATGCAGATGCAAATGCAAATGCAAATGCAAAGCAGAATGGAGTTAATAATCATGATGAGAGGCACAAATCGAGGTTTCCTAATTCATCGATTCATCGTGCTACAAGTTTGAAGAGGAAGGACCAAAGGCGAAATAGGAGGAGCGAGTAAATTGTATGATGTAGATATTCACAAAAAAATGGGAAAAGAAAAGAATTTCACAATGGAAAGCGAAAGTGTATATAGAAGATGTTACATTCTTGAGGAATTTGTTGGCTGTGATTATTATTAGGTTTTCGTTTTTTGTTCATGTGAAGGATAGAAGAATTTGTTGAGCTATCAAAAACAATAGTTCAATACACGAGGATATACTTTTTTGTTATGGACTGAGGCCTATTTCCTCAAAGTAAACGATAAAACTTGCTTTAGCAAAGGCCGAGCTATTAGGCCTCAAATTTTCTTTTAATCCCATATCTGAACTTATCTCATTTTTAAGTCAAAGCCTATATCAATTCCCTCTTTCTTCAGTCCGGATGCATCAAAACCCATAAAGGTGAGCGTCAAGCCTAGCCTCCGCCTTTGTCATCACCTCGCCACTTCCCTTAAATCAACGCAACAAACTAGCCAAACTCGCTTGGATCACCCTTAACGCCCAACGGCCCGATCCAAATGGTAACAGCCCAAAATGCTGGCCTATTCTTGCCCAAAAACCTCTCGGGCCTGAACTCATCGAGCTCGGCCCAAACTGATGGATCTCTTGAGATGGTACGTGTGTTTACGAGTACCGTGGCCCCTGCGTGGAGCGTAATAATTGAGCAAATAATTATAGAGTACTATTTGAATTATAAGTTGAAGTGTTTATTTGAATTAAAATTCTAAATGTTACTGAGGAAATTTTAAATATTTCTAAGTATCATATATTTGAATAGAAAGGAACTTATATTCGATTTGTTTGCTAATCAAATATTAGCTTGGACAATCTGCATAAATAGTTAAATAATTTGAACTCTTCAACCGTCCCTGCCGGGATGTTGTAGCAAGAAAAGGTGGAGTTTTGGCGGGAGAAGCGAGGGAACAACATGGGAGCCATGGGGTGCATCCGCATTGAAGAGATGGGTGTGCGCCGGTTCGAAACGCAGGCCGAACTGGCCCAACCCGTCTTGGGACAAGACTCTGTCCGGCCTGCAGTGGGCCGTGCCTAACCCGACTCGTGATATACCCGGACAACGGGCCAGGCTAGGTTCCACTCTAAACCTGGGGACAAAGAAGCAGGCTCCGCTCTAAACCTGTTGATGTAATTCTAGTAGAGATTTTTTTTAATGAATACTTATAGTCATTTTGATTCACTGAAAACGCTCAAGTTATAGTGAGCCTTTTATCTTTTGAGATAATTACATCACCAATTGTAAATATATAGAGTTTCAACTTTTCATAAAGATAATACAGATTTTCCATCTTTAAGTTATCTACTTCTTCTTAACTAAAAGAGAACACTAAAGGAGAACTCAATGAATAGTAAATCACTGTTGGACCAATCATAGGGATTTGCCAACTCAGCCGAAATTCTCTCACACGCTTATTTTCCAAACTTCCCACATTACCACGTTCTCCAAACTACCCTTTCTATCTCCCTCTCTCTCTCTCTCTCTCTCTCTCAACTTCCCCCAATCTCCATTCTCTCTTCGAACCCAACCAAATCTAAACCCAAAAACAATGGAGAACTCCACCTCTTCATCATCAATCTCAGATCCCATCGTCGCTGATATCTCCGATCGTCAAACAAATCCCTAGAACCAACCCTTCTTTTGTCGCCGATACCCCCTCTCCTCCTCTGACATCTTCATCGTCAAATGCTTCCTCCACCGTCCTCAGACCTCGCGCTCACCTCCCCGTCGCCATCCTCCTCCTCCTCCTCTCTCCGGCAAGCTTCCCGCGCAAACGAGCCTCATTTCCCTCTTCCTCTCCCCAGGTTCCGAATTAACGCTGCATTTGAATTATTATATTGTGATTAGTTTCCAGATTACTGCTTTGGGTTTGTGTTGAGGGGGGTTGACATGGGTTTCATTCAAAAATTCATCTTTGATTAGCGAGTGGTTTAAGATGCGTACGTGGATTGTTTACAAATAACCCATTTGATGAAATTTCTGTTTTATAGTGTTTATTTTGTTCTATTAATGAATGGGATCTAGGATCGCTTTAAAGTGTTTATCTTTTTATATTTTTCAATGAAGTTGGTGCTATAAATTTTAATTTGCCTGTAGGGAAGTGGTTGGTATTTCTCCGTTCAATTTCTCATTATGCCACCGTATCCTCCGCTATGAAATCCTGATGTTTTAATTTACACTTTCTTTTTCCTAAATGCTATACAAGCACACTCTTTAGAGAAGTCAATGCAGTTACAAGCCTCAAAGATGGCCCTATTCTGGTACTTTGAGGTTAGTAATTCTATTGATATTGTGTTTAATTGAGTAGAATTCCATCTTTCAAGCAAAATAAGGTTGTAGGTTAGTAATTCTATTGATATTGTGTTTAATTGAGTAGAATTCCATCTTTCAAGCAAAATAAGGTTGTTGTGTGTTACTTATATATTACGACATTACATATTTAAGAGTGATGTACAGAAGAATAATGCTTGGAAGCTTGAACCTTTTGTTTCATCTGAGTTATTCCTTTAGTAAATGTTACGTTGAATTGATTTAATCAGATGCTCTGAGAACCATCTGGTTTAAATAGTATTTTCCCCTTTAGGATGACAAAAGTAGTCTCTTTTTTGTGGTTGATTTAATCATATGTTTGCCCTTTGTACAATGTAATGACACACATCGTCATGTAATTGAGTGGCTTCATCGAAGATCATATCACAATATTCATAGAGTGAATGGTACAATTTGCACAGGTTTGTGCTTTCTAGATTATAAGTAGGTTTTGGGTTTGGAAGTAGAAGGACATTGTTTTTAACTGATGAATAATTCTGAACAGGTACCTTGCAGAGTTTAAGACTGGGGCTGACAAAAAAGAGGCTGTTGAATATACGCTGACGGCATACAAATCCGCACAGGTGGGTCGGTTCTTTGATTGGGTTTCATTCGTTTATACCTGCAGTTAGCAGTATATATACTCTAATACCTTTTTATGGCTTATTTGGTTTGATAGAGATATTTTTATTTGTCAAGAAACCTCATCGTTTTGCCATGATTTTTTATGGCTTATTTGGTTTGATAGAGATATTTTTATTTGTCAAGAAACCTCATCGTTTTGCCATGATATTTACTGGAGCTTACCTTCGTTGTATGTTTGTGTTAATCAAATTTCTGTATTACTTTTCCCATTAAATAGGTTTCTTATTGTAGAATTAAGAGTTATTGGCCATTAGCTAAGCACGTTATATTGAATTGTCATCATTTGTAGGATATTGCTCTTGCTGAATTGTGGCTCCGACCCATCCCATAAGGCTTGGCTTGGCTCTTAACTTCTCAGTTTTCTATTATGAGATCCTCAACTCACCAGACCGTGCATGCAATCTCTTAAAACAATTGGTTTGAATTTCAAATTGAAGGTATGGCTGGTTGTGCAATATGTTATGTAAATTTCAGCTAAAATGGATCTTTTCTGAATCGGTGAGCAAGTATATTCAGTTTAAATGTGTTGGCCCAAGAATATTCATGATTTGATTGAAAATGCTGCTTTCCATTGTTTACATTAATTATTGAGTCGTTCCCATATTTCGAAATCTTGATATTAGAAACCCAAAAAATTTTGTTAGTCGTATTTGTTATTCTATCTCAGAAGATGTCTGCTAATTAATTGTGAATATTATTGGACTTCTTAGAAAACTTTAGGAAGTTTTGCGTCTAATCATTTTTATGCTTTTGTTCTATTTTGAGTTACATGCTTTTCTTACAACTTCTTATTCATATTTCTTTAACAATATTTATTATTATTCTTTCTTAAAAGATTCTATTGATTTCTCAGGAAGTTGTCCGATTTTCTAAGTCTAATTAATTTTATGTTTGCTTCAGTATTCTTTTGGCAATTCTATGGATCCGTAACTAAATCAGACTACACCACAATGAGTCTGGGCTTCATCATGGTAATTAATTCAAAATTTTCAAATAGATGTCCTACTTCCTACGTCTTACACAGAATAAAATTAGTTTATTTAATTATTTGTGGATCTCTTACCACAGACACATTGCAATGGAAACCTAAAATTTGATTTTCACAAGTATATGGCTCTTGAAGCAGATTTCAAGAAAGTTGTTGGTATAAGGTATTTCTTTTACCTATAGACTGAGTACTATTTGTTTCTTGCCATTCGAATCGGAGTGTCAACTCGGTTCATCACATTTATGAAACAATAACTTTATTTCACTTTTTATATTTAAATTTTGGATAAGAATTTTCACACATTTATGCAATGAAAAAATTGACCTTTATTGTGCCATTTTGATTTCAGTTTTGAGGAGTTATTTGATCTTTAGAATTTTGGTCAATGAAGTAGTTAACGAATCGAACTTGCTCGAATATCTAGACGAATAATAATCAAACTATTTATTAATTATTCGGTTCACTTCCACTACTATACTTCATATCTAAAGCAGAATACTTTATTTTGATAACATGTTAAATATTTATAGAAAATCTTTTAGGATCCGTGCTTTGCACGGGTTTAAATACTAGTATACAATAATCTTGCAAAATTATTAAAAAAAAATTAAAATTTGAAAAAAAATAATGTTGGCGAGGCTAGTTCCAGCCCCAAAGCTGGGGACAAAATCCTCAGCCCAGCCTCGCCCAGCACGCCGAGGCCTGCTTGGCCCCGAGTTTGATCCGGCCCGGTCTAAAACTGGGCGGGCCGGTTCATGAGTCAGCCAGCCAGGCCCACACCCACCCTTCTTGTACCGTGGATTGGATGATCGGATGTGGGGGAGGTCATCGATCCATCGCTGTTTTCTAATGACACGATCGAGCTCTTCCTTTCCGTTTACAAAGCTATGTGGCCCTTTTACAAGCTCGGTTATTGCCCATTCCGCAGTCACTGGTGACCGGTGGGCCTCTGGGCCATAGGCGTTTAGGGCCTGTTGATAGAGTTGGGATATTTCGCCTCAGATTACAGGAGTCCGATATAGGAATTTTAATTTTTTAAATGGTTTCAACTTTTAAGCCTTTGATTTATTTCACGTGTTGCGTGTGAGGGAAATGAGAGGAAGCTATGGAAATGTTGTCTGTATGTGTGAATCATATTATGCTATATAAGAGCGCTCTATGTTAAATAGGGTTAATTGAGCATAGTTGTTATCT